CATACATTCACATAGCTATATTCTCAATCAATAGTTCTCTTTTAGCCATTGGCAATTCAAAAACACTGTTGTTTTTCTTTAAGGAAAGAGAGCAACATAATATGTTGTGCAACTTTTCTTTATTCAAGCATAATTTGTTTAGCATTGATAGAAAGGATAAGATGACGTGATGTCTCATCATCGTCATCATCGTCACTTGGATCTAATGGGTTTTTTCCATTCAGGATAATTTTTTTAAATGCCGTTTTTTAGTTTAATCCTGGAACTCCTGGAGTCAGGACACCTAGAAGCGGTGTTTACACGAGAACAAAACGGGTTGTATCTGCTACTTTTCTCTCGCGTATAGCCCGTTCGTTCACACGAGGCCGTAACGGAACCGTGGAAACGGACCCCGCGAACGATAACGGGTCCCAAGGTGGATAGATCAACAAACGGAAAGCTCTGGGGGGGCAAACGGCTCCGTGTGTAGGCCCTATACGATCATTTCCTACGATCACCTCTGCTGCTCACTGCTGTAGCATGTTCAGTAGCTACTGTCAGTAGCTACTGCTACTGCTACTGACCATGCTACAGATGTTAATGCAAAATCTACAGCTCCTCTGCCACAACCATCAGCAACAAGTGGACATGGAGAATTACATGAACTACATGTCGCTAAATCCACCGCGGGGCATAAACAGAAGGGCAACCATGGCAACCATGCTCGGGGGTCTTCTTCGCTGCTTTTGTTGTATTTTGTGGCAGAAGTACAGCGCCACTTACAGGCCCGGCATATGTACTACAGCGTCTCCAGTGGTCTCGTGTGAACGGACACATTAAATGAGCCGAATGTGTGTGAACACACACACACACACACACACACACACACACACACACACACACACACACACACACACACACACACACACACACACACACACACACACACACACACACACACACACACACATTGAAAGAGAGATATCTTTCTGATGATGTGAGAAATGTTGTTTCAGCAGGTTCTTCAAATGATTCATGAACTGTGTTTAACACTTTCTTCCAACAAAAAAATAATCAATTCTGGGTCAATCTTATTGTATCTTATCTTAGATAAATGTTGCACAAAGTAATAGAAAGTCAGTATAAGGCATTACAATTTGAAGATCACTAAACACTTCTAAATGATGACAGTGGAATCACAGATGTTTCATAAATGGTAGATGTAAAAGAAAATTATATGTATATAACTTGAGTACTTCAAAATATTGACCCCCATGTTTTAATCCCCATTTTCTTTATTTATGGCATCAATCATTATCTTGTGCAATTTTGAACCTAAAGCTGATGTTGCAAGATATAATTTCTTCAGAGGCCAATTAAGTCCAATTCAACTTTTCCATAGACTAAACTATTGGCATTTGCTGACAAATGGCCCAAGGTAGCTTCACCCCAACACCTCACCTTTACCCCTTAGTCTTTCCAGGAAATGAAGTCTCAGGGTATCTCTAATATCAAGGTTCTCTAATGGCAAACACTCTTCTGTGTGCTTTGAGCATGATGGATGTGCTTCACCTCGTGAGGGTCAGTTAATAATCATTTCAAGTTGAAACGGTTTAAATGATTCAATGATCAATTAAATGTATCATTCCGTAAAACAGAAACAAATTCCCTAAAGGATATCGGGGTAGTTTGACAGTGGCTGGAAGTACACATTTCTCTATGGGGAGTTTCTTTATCTGTATAAAGAGCTTTCAAACTAACAAAAGCAGTAATTACAATCCACACACATACACACCAATATGAGGTCACTAATGATGTCAGCACAAAGTATTTGAGGCCCCTTCCCTCTCTAAGTAACACACAAACCACACACATAAAAAAAACACACACACAGAGGAAGCTAAGAGCCAACATTATATCACCTGACACAGAAAAAGTGACTTGGCAGAGGAGCAGCTTCTTGGCCTTGTGAGACAGTCTGTGCCATTAGCCGCACAGCGAAACAAAACAGAATGCCTTTATTCTCCCACCAAGTACAGAGCTGTGGGTCTCTGGAGCCCTGGGAGGAGAGGATAAAGAAGACTTTAACTCAGAGAGATAACGCTGGAGCACAAATCAAATCAAATCAAATCAAATCAGGTTTTATTTATATAGCACATTTAAAAGCGATTTTTGGTCGAGCCAAAGTGCTGTACATGTAATAAAAACACATTACTACAAATCACAATAAACGACAATAAATTACAACAGATATATCTTAAAAAAACAAAATAAAAATAAAACACACGGAAAAGTCAGGAGTCGTGCTCCGCTCTAACTAGAAAGCCAGAGAGAAGAAGTGTGTTTTTAGTTTAGATTTAAAAAACCCTAGGGTCTGGGCCGACCTCACATGGAGGGGCAGAGTGTTCCAGAGCCTAGGGCCAGCTGCTGCGAAGGCTCGGTGCCCTCGGGTTTTTAGCCTGGTCTTGGGCACTACCAGCAGCAGCTGGTCAGCAGACCTTAAAGCTCTGGCTGGGGTGTAGCGCTGGAGCAGTTCAGCTAGGCCGGAGCCAGCCCATTTAGTGCTTTAAAAACAAATAAAAGGATTTTAAAATCAATTCTGAACCGAACTGGAAGCCAGTGTAGTGAGGCCAGAATAGGGGTGATGTGGTCGCGCTTTTTGTGGCCAGTCAGCAAACGTGCAGCAGCGTTTTGGACTAGCTGTAAGCGTTTAATTGAGGCCTGGTCCATACCCACATACAGAGCGTTACAATAGTCCAGTCTCGAGGTTACAAAGGCGTTAATAACACTTTCTAAGTCATTAAAAGATAAATACGACTTGGTTTTGGCCAATAGTCTTATTTTAAAAAAGCAGGATTTTACTACGGTGCTGACCTGCTTGTCAAATGTAAAAGTGCTAGTGAAGGTCACTCCAAGGTTCATGACCGAGGGGAGGATGTTTTTTTTGATAGAGCCCAGAATATCAACCGGAGAGGCTGGAGGTTGCGGTCCAAAAAAGATGACCTCGGTCTTGCTCTCGTTGAGGTTGAGGACGTTTTTGCTCAGCCAGGATTTTATCTCTGCTAAGCAGTCCATCAACTGCTGTAGTGAGTGTGTGACATTTGCTTTGAGAGGCAGATAGATCTGTACATCGTCGGCGTAGCAGTGGAAGGGAATGTTATGTTTTGTGAGTATTGAACCTAGGGGCAATATGTACAGTAGAAAAAGGATGGGGCCCAGAATCGAGCCTTGGGGAACCCCACAGGTAAGAGGGGCTTTGGCAGAGGAGAAGGCACCTAGCTGTACCGAGAAGCTACGGTCTGTCAGGTAGGACCTGAACCATGCAAGGGCAGAGCCTGTGATGCCAGCGGACTGTTCAAGCCGTGACAGCAGGATGCTATGGTCCACAGTGTCAAAGGCAGCTGTCAGGTCTAACAGCACCAAGACAGCTGGGCCACAAAGTCCCACCAGTGATCATCCCTGTGAATATTTGGATCTTTTTGTTAATGGACTCAACAGAATACAGGTTAAAGTAATTTTTACTGTGCTGAGTGAGTTTAAGTTCTGAAAAATGGAGCCATCGGAGCCGAAGAATGATAGAGGACACTGCAGAGAGGTACATTTTAGAATTTTAGCTCATCAAATGATTTATAATTTTTTTACTTTCTTAAAAAATGCATGTTGGTGAGAACACTTCATATTGTAACTATTTCATTATAATAGATAAAGAGATAACATGTAAAACAAACATATAATCTGTGTCTTTGACTAAATGAAATATAACATTACTTAATTTTACTCCAGACCAGTGGTGGAAAGTAATTTTGAGCATTTCTTCAAATACAAGTACAATTTGAGATATTTGTAATTAAATTGGAGATTCATATATTATTCATATAACACGATTAACAAATAATTTATCCTTTTTTATGAGTACAGCAACAAAATTGTATGTACACGTGAATGCATCAATTTGTGTAATCCAGTAATATACAGTATTCTGAATTGGGCCATTTTGCACAGTGTTACCTTTAACTGATGGATTACATTTTGATGCTGATAATGTTATACTGCCACTTGAGTAGCCTATACTTATGAATGCATGATCCCGAGAACACAACGGTTTTGTGTTGTTTTTTGTGAGTGGTGTAATTTATGTATCGCTGCTGCCATCTGGTGGCGGCAACATGTTCAGACACTAAGAGTGAATCTGATAATCCCACACTACACAGCTCTCTCCTCTCTTTCAGGGGGCCCAGCCAGTGACCATGCTTCCTAATTTAGACAGATGGAAGGTGGATCCAGAACACATGCTTGGCCTCACGGTTATTGTGGGCGCAGTTCTCAACCTGCTGGTAGTAGTGTTGGTTTATATCTACACACCCGTCTGACATGCCACACACACTGGATGGATTCATGGTTAAACTGTTTACTGTTTGTTGGACTAATGTTTAAATGGGACAGCACCTTAGTGATGGATGTATGGATGGACAATCAGAAGGAAATTACAGAGTGCTTTGAAGTGACAGGCCTTTTGTATAAGTAGTATTTGTCCTATTGTTAGTCTTTAACTGAGGTTATCTCAAAGCTAAAGTCTTTTTCCATAAGGTAGCAGTTGTTATACCAACACTGGGAACACATTATGTGCTGTTGATCTACTATAAGTTAAAGGGGACCTATTAGGCAAAATCTACTTTTTCATGTCTTTTCTACATCTGTTTCTTAGATATTCTGAAAGTTTCAGGAAAAAAGATTCGCTCACTTTTTGTCCTGATCCATTTATATAAAAACCTGTCTGAAAATGAGCTGATCAGATTCTGGCTACTTTATGATGTCATAACGAACACTTCAGAGACTTGTTTTGTATATGTCTGAGACCTATAATATATTGATAAAAAACAGTATAATAGGGGACCTTTAAAACACATTGAGCATGACACAAATGTTATTCTTCCTGTAATATGTATGCAATAACTGGATGTATTTGCCGATTACTTGTTATATGCTTTGTTTGTTAGAACTGTATATTAATAAACAACACATTTCAAGTGGAAACAAATCTGAATTGTTTTTAATCACCACCACTTTGTTATTCAAAACCACATCAATGAAGCATCGAGGATCAGAAGACAGCAAAGTATGAAAAAAGATTTGTCTTGTGAAAATCAGAGTACTATGTTGTGTTAAATAAATATAGTAAAATAGTGCAAGGAAACAGAACTACAGAACGTCATATCTTTACAAAAATGTTCCAAGAGCTCAATACAGAAAGACAGATCAGGAAAGTGTGCAGTTGTTCAATAGACACGGTTATTTACATGCCTATGTATTATCTGTAAACACTGTAATAAAGCAAGCTTTTTTTTTCTAGATTGAAACCTACTCTCTGCTTTTCAATACTAATATATCCATTATGACATTAATATTTTAAATATATATTTTGATTTGTTTCTTTAAGGTACAGAAGTAGTATTATTGATTTGATTGTTGATGTGAATATCTGGCAGTATTTGACAGCTGGTAATGATGTCAATCTTCTCGGACACAGCCTTTAGGTCATCCAGGATTAATCTGATGCTGTGGGAGGCATTGATGATGGCGCCCTGCGAAGTATTCAGCTGAGATGTTGCACTTTGCACCTTCAACAAAAACAGTCAGGAAAAAAATGGAATGAAGGCATTACAACCATAGACAATAAACTGTTACAGGATACTTACAATAGGATATTGCAAACGCTTATATTGTAATTATGTGTTACAAAGGCGATTTGTAAGACCTTTGTATTCCTAATGAATATATCTGATAATAAATGTGCTGAGAAAAACACAAACCTCTCTACTGGCACTGCCATAAGCATGCCGTAGTGTCTGTCCCACATCAGAATACAGCCGGCTGTTAGACTCCTGCAGCTTCTGTTGTAAAAGGGTGTCGCCTGGAAAAAAATAATACATACTGAAAAAACTGAGAACTAAACCTAATTTTCATTGTTCGCTTATCTATTTGTTTGAAGCCATCCATGGAACTGCATTTACTTTTAAATACAATTAAATAATAAACTGTGCAATACTGCTTTTGGCATTATTACTTTAATATAATGCACATTTCCAACATAATTGTTTTTCAGCATTAATATGGTTATTAATAATTATACACAACTATATGCATATTGTAATATACATATTTATTTATATTTGTTTTTGTATTATATTGTAGTAAAATGTGTATATTTTAACTTCAACTTTTCTATGTTTTTATGAATATTTCTATTTAATATTAATCCAAAATGGAGCAACTATTATAAAATCAAATTTCACCTCTTTGTGGAAAAAAGTATTGTCAGAATCAACATTTTGACTTTTGATTACTTGCTTTATTTTAAGATGATGATTACAGTTCACCTAGAGGCTCATTTGTGACGTTTGTAACAAGATACTCTAAACCCACTCTCAACCTGACGAAATGCATCTGTTTTATTCATACATCAATGCATTTATGCAGCCAGATTATTAACTCACTCATGAAGCATCATGAGAAGCAGGTAAATGGACCTCTGAGTTAAGCAAACTCTGCAGGTTATATATTATCATAACATATGTATTACCCTAAGTATAACCATTCATTTACCATTTCTTTATAGTATTCCTCACCTTGTGGCCTGTGTGTGGGACTGGGCCTGTCTTCCACTATGGACTGGATATCAGGATGGTCTCTCACTACGATAAGAGGAGGAAGGTCTCTCCTGAGAATCTGAGTGCTCTCCTGGCTCAGAGAGGAGGCTCGGCCCGGCTGCTCCTCCTCATCCTCACTGTCTGTTTCAGAAGCCTCCCCAGGAACCTGACAGCATTCAGAATATCACAGACAGCATAGTTGTTTTATATCAGATGGTGTGGAGGTATTGGTTGATGATTGTTGACACGCTTTCATCTCTCTATGCCACTCAAACAAAGACAGCATGCAGACAACCTTGGCTCCCAAGGTGGCAGTTTGGGGAGTCATGGAGGTGATGTACACTTCATCATCAGAGTCTGTCTCAGAGGCCTCACCCTGTACCACTATCTGGTAACTGCTGGACATGTCTGTACACACACACACACACACACACACACACACACACACACACACACACACACACACACACACACACACACACACACACACACACACACACACACACACACACACACACACACACACACACACACACACACACACACACACACACACACGAGCAAACACACACACACACAAAATCAAACCAGGTTAGCTACAATTAAAAGATAGTTGATACACAAAGTATATTGTCACTGTAGCTAAACATTGTATTGATAATAATCATAACGATAACATTGAGTCAAGATTAGGTAATGTAGATCCAGACATATCAGCCTCCCTTTGATCGTTACAAATGCACTTACCTAGAAACTTTAGAACAATGTTCGCTAAAAGCTAATGTTAAAGTATAAGGTCCAATAATCAACAAACTGTCAAACCTTCTCTGTAATATCATAAACACAAATCACATGAGCAATAAGGAAGTGGCTTGTTTTCCAAGACCCAATCCGATCTGAGCTTGGATGTCATGTGATATCTGACGTCTCATACCGCCATTCGAAGACAGGACAGCTCATATAATCATGGGTCCGTTTGTCATTGAAATGGCGTATGCCGATAATTTAACGTAATTCTCAAACACGCTCTAAGTTTGGTGTTCCCCACATAAAAGCAAATTATTATGTAACTGGATGTGTGATTGTTGTAACAGCATGTAAGCCGCTGCCACCAGGTGCTTTTCAACTGAATTGCAGTGTTAAATTCACGCTAACTCCGCCTTCCTGATCCAGAGGGGTACCCTGAATTGAATATCGAGTGCAACCCAGGAAACAAGCTTCTGTTTACTTCGTGTAGCCTACACTCAGTTGACAGGTACAGAACATTTAATGTTTTACTCTGTTTAATGTATTGTAACTGCAACACATGTTATATACAAATCCACAGTTTTGTTCTTATATACTGATACAGGCAAAACCAGGTTTGGAAAATGTTGCCAGCAAAAAACACGAGCCATCTATCTGGCGCTATCGATCAAGCTAACGCTAATGTCTTTAAGGGTTTTCAATGTCCCCTTACTCTTGATTTTGTCTTTTGAGGCACAGCTAACTAGGTTACGTGAAACTGTTTAGCTTATGTGTTATATTGGGCTTTATGGTTTGATTTTTGTTTTTGGCAGGAATGGCAGACGAGTGTTTGTTTGACTTTCTCCATATGGAGATCGTCTCACATATGTACACGGAGCAGCAATCCAGTAAAGGGGAGATGGATAACAAGGTGTGTTCAGTAAAGGCGTCAAACAATCGACTGAGACTTAATATAAGGGATAACTTTAGTATGGATATGCACTATTTTCTGTATAAACCTTGCTACACACTTTCTATTTTTTAATATGCTAGTTAATAAGTGCATTGTTGATACTAGCAAACCCTATACCTATGTGTACTGTGCAAATAAATAGATTGCATTTCCTTTCCTTTAGGATAGAGCTGTCTGTGTTTCTGTCCTTGAAAGCATGGGCTTCAGGGTGGGACAAGGAATCATTGAGAGGTAGCTAAGCATATAAACACATATTCTGTATGCCAAACACTAAATGCTGTGGTGCATGAATCCATACCTACATAACATGCCTGTGTTGATGTTTGCTCTGTGTAGGTTGACCAGGGACTCTCCCAGCTTCAAGGATGAGTTGGATGTAATGAAGTTTGTCTGTAAAGACTTCTGGACGAAGGTGTTCAGGAGGCAGGTTGACAACCTCAGAACAAACCATCAGGTAAAATAAAAGTTAACAATAGTCTTTATTGTATACAGGAAACTGGGACCTGATTTGTGATACATACCTGACCTATTTATTGCAAAGAAGAGCTAGAATACCATCATCTTCAATAAAAAATGTACTACGATCAGATCATTTTGTTAGATCTTCATCTGCAATTAAAGACGTCTTGCTGGTAATTTAAGAAACAAATATATGCAAACTTGAATCAAGTGTTGATTCAAACATGATATTGTTTGCTAGTATGGTTGTTACTACAAATGCATGTTTTCTGCCACAGGGTACCTATGTCCTGCAGGACAACAAGTTCTCTTTTCTAACTCAGCTCTCAAGTGGAAAACAGTACCTGGATCAGGCTCCTAAGGTTAGTCTGTCTGTCTGTATTGCATACTACATACAAAATAAGAGTTCATTTATAAATAGTGCTAATTTATATTTGTTGTGTTTTCTTTCAGTACCTCGCTTTTTCCTGTGGTGTGGTGAGAGGAGCTCTTTCTAACCTTGGTATGGACAGCGTGGTGACAGCCGAGGTCTCTGTTATGCCATCTTGTAAGTACTTTCCAAACACCAATTCATGCCTCTATAACAATCCTAGCCAAATATGTTACTCATGCAAGTTGTAAGAACTGTTTTTGGCTGGTCAGGTCAGAACATGTTGTTGAGAGTCATTAGCTTCGCTTAAATAACACACTTACTTTCTTAAGATCCTACAAATGGTTCATCCCTCTGACATTTTTTTCTTTCCAGGTAAGTTCCAAGTGGTGGTCCAGAAGTTGTGACCTGATCCTCTGTGCTACCCTGGAGCAGATAAGCAGGGCCCTGAAGGCTTCAGTTAATCCTTAAGAGAGATAGTAGTTCCTGTCCAACCACAGATGGAATCAAACATCACCCTGATTCCCACAACTAAATCAAAGAGGACTAGGCAGGTTCCGCTAAAAAACAAGGTGCCGATGAAAAGGCATAAAGGATTCAGGGCTTACCTTCCCTTGTCATACTCTGACACCGAACACAATTTGTTTTATTTCTTGTGAGTTTTTATTATTTGAGTATGGTTAACTGAAATAACGTATGGTGTTCTCAAATGTAGTTTTCACAAATAATTGGAGCCTGGCCCTACCTGACCTGGCCGAGCTTTTTAATAAAGTATCTACAGTCACTGGTGTTAATGCAATAATGTGAATGTATAGTGAATGAATAGGTCATTTAATATTCTTTGTAATTTGTTACAATTTTGAGAGCTCAATTTGAGAGGACATAAAAGGAAGACATCATTGAACATTTGTTGTTTTTTAGGATAGAACAACTGCGATACCATCTATTTTATCATCCATCTAAAAAGTAGCTTTTTTGAAAATGATTGCACCTCACATCAAATTCATAATTTAATGCACATTATCTGTAACTAGTTCCTGGTGCTGTGCTCTGCCTTGTAGCAGACTGCCTTTTGGGGCTGGGTCATTCATGAATGCTTTTGTTTTTTTAAATTTCAGTTCATTTAAAGGCAAAATGCAAGTCTAGAAGTAGCCATTGCTGCAGAAATTTTACTTTTTTCTAATTACGTTGATTTACTGGATGTGATATCGGTTTCTCAGCAACAGTCTCTTCCTTTGTAGTGACATTATATTTTGGGGTTTACAAACTATTATTTCTTGTACCAAAATGTACATTTGTTGTCCTTCTGTACAGATTAATTTGTGTAGTATATAGTAATGAGATTTGCTTGCTGCAAATGTGATTAAATCGTGTTGTATGGCTTGACATAATTGTGCATGGATTTCTGGGTTATATTTCTTAATGACACTTTTTATTGTCTACTCTAATATTATATAAATCCCTACAGAGCTTAAAAACTTTGATTCCATAAGTATGGGATTTTTCTGTGTTTGAAATATTATTTATATATAATTTATGGCACAAACAACAAAAAATCACCGTCTGTTGAAAAAGAAAACAAAGTAATGAAATGAACCTCTTGTAGATGCTGTTGCCTCCCACTAGAGAGCGCATGAAGCTGTCGTTGTTTCGTGAGTTGCTTTACCATCATGGTTCTGCTCAGTGTCTTGTTTTCTTTTTTCTCTATTCTGTAGTAATCTTTCTGGTGAACTTTTATTGTCTGGGAGAAAAAAGAACAAGAAGTTGTAACTGCTCTACAAAACAAAACAACAAAAAAATCTCTTTTGTTATTCAAATTAGTTTATCACAATCAAAGCAATTTCTTTTTTATTATTATTCAAATAATGCAATGCAAGATGCGTACTTATCCTTTGCATATTCTATAATTATTAAATGCTATTAACTACTATTTTTACGCAAACAATCTATTAAAACATGTACCTGAAACACAATTGGCCTAGAATTCAGGACTTGTTACTTTCCATAGCACTGTAAATAGCAAAAAACACAGTTAAGAGGGCTATTAAGATATCTTATGTAAATGGGTGCTTTACCTTTGCTCTTTTTATTACTCTTCTGCATAACAACACATTTCACTGTGCGCACTAATACAGTAGTTCCATTTCCCATCATCCCTGCTTAAGTTATTAATATTGCTTTCATGTTGCTGATCCATATCATGAGCTTTGTATTAAGAGGTTCTACTGTATGTGAGTGCACTGCAGTTCTGATATATTCTCTCTAAAGTTTCGTCCCTGCAGCTTAACTGTACTTAGTTTTCAAGAAACTCAAGGTCTATTTGAGTTTTTAAGTCAGTGGTTGTGCCTAAGTTTACAAAGGTATTGCCACATCCATCATCAGGTTGATTCAAATATTTTACACCTTGGGTTCACCTCTGGGTTTTAATTATACCTACATTTTGACTGATTGATTGACTGACTTTAATCTAGTCGATGGATTATGATGCTAACTCTGTCTTTATTTATGTCTCTGCTCTAAAACATATCCCTGACGTTGTTCCAGTATATAATTGTTGTAATAGTTTTTACACAACAAAGGTTTACATTTTATCCATTTAATGAGCTTCCAATAATGGCTCAGACTCGGCTCTGAAAAACTGCAGTCATTACTGTCTACATGAGACACCTGATCAACATTGCATTTCAATATACAAGGAGAAACTCCAGCGTCAGTGTTCCATTGAGTTTTTTACATAATAAATATTATCATGAATGACAACATTCGAGTAGTGTTTGTAGGTAACATAGCATTCAGTAGGGAATATGCTCACTGGAAAACATATCATGCTCATACAGTATGTTGACAATTTAGTAAAGTCAATGTTGCACTAAATATAGACATCCTCTATGGTTTAAACACGGCAGATTTCAAAATACTGCTGCTGGTTTATAAAGCATTGAATGGTTTAGGCCCAAAATACATTTCTGACCTACTGCTAAATTATGAACCATCCCGATCTCTCAGGTCTTCTGGGACTGGTCAGCTTTCTGTCCCTATAGTCAGAACTAAACATGGTAAAGGAGCGTTCAGTTATTATGCTCCAAATATCTGGAACAAACTCCCAGAAACCTGCAGGTCCGCTGCAACTCTGACTACTTTTAAATCCAGGCTGAAGACTTTTCTTTTTGCTGCTGCTTTTAATTGATATATTCATATCTTAAACTGCACTGTAACTTGTATTATCTTTGCTTTTTATTTTTGCTTTTAAATTAGTGTTTGTAAATGTCATTTTATATCATTGCTTTTAAATGAGTGTTTTTAGATATCATTTTATAATATGCTTCTTAATGCTCTTAATGTCTGTCATTTTTGTAAAGCACTTTGAATTGCCTTGTGTTGAAATGTGCTATATAAATAAACTTGCCTTGCCTTGCCATAAAAAAAGTGGGAGGAGAGAAAGTGAAAGACCTGGACTGCATCTTGAAGAGGCACTCCACCAATTTCCAATCGGCCTGTGAAAACAGTTGTAAAATGGCTTCTATGGCTCTCAAGGGGGCATTTTATCCCTGGTGATGTCATCAGGGTTATTTCTACTTGGGCTTGGAGAAAACTGATTTTTCTATCTTCACAAAAAGCCTGCTTGACAAACTGATGGTTTGAAGTTGGGATAGCGTAATATATGAGTGGGAGGTGTACAATATATATATTTCTTGCAAGCACCCACATTTAATGGAAGTGAAACACTACATGCTATTTAATATATTATTACATCCTTTGTCTAAAACTTTGGGTTAGCACTCAAACTGTTCTTACTTCAGTATGACAGCGGCCCTCAAGATAAGAGTTCTTGAATAAGCTTAAGACTTCAGTAAAGTTAAAAAAAGATCCCTGTTTATAAGTAGACACTCAGCAGCACCAGAATGGATTTTGAAGTGGGGCTTCAGCTTTGGGTGACGTTATAGTCTAGGGAACTTTTCAGCCTATATTTGGTACAACTCAATTATGGTAAGAAATGCATTCCCCCTTCTCATTATGGCACATAAAGATCAAAATGTCATCAGTTTAGTTTTTTTTGCTCAATGGTTGCAAACATGGGGTGAGTGCAATACTTTCATCGATGTGCAGTGCTCTTTTGAGAAGCACTTTAAAAAGAAAGAATCAAAATTGATGGCAAATAGGTCTTCCAATCCAATATGCCTGCTAACATGAACAGAAACCCAGCAGAGCTAGGTTCAGTCTTTAGAGCTGGGATGTGAAAATACAGACAATTCATCAGATTATGTTGGATCTCGGATGACTTTGAATGTATTTGAAATACACAATGGTTGATTTTGATTGGATAAAAGTCAGATGCGTTAGAACCATAGGTTTGGAAACCATCACCAAGGTTGAACTCACTGTAATACCTAGGTTAGACTTTGCAGTTTACTACCATAACGTCTAGAAGTATGGGGATAAAAACTCACATTGCCGCCGCTTTATCGGTGCCATTGCAGGCAAGGGCTTCCACTCTACCCTCTAACAACATTTCCCATACTGTTTTTCTTCCTGCAATGCAATATGCAAATCAGTTAGGGAGATTTTGTTAGGCGTCTGCTTAAATGTGCTGCACCTGATTATAGCCAACTCTTTCACCCATTTGTTGCAATCGATTAAACACTTTGCCCAAATCCTCTCTGTAGAGAAGGAAAAAAAACCTGAAAGGGGGATTAGAGAGAAAGCCTGGGAGGGGGCGGAATTATAGAAAGTTGGTGGAGGAGGAGGGTGAGATTGAGAGAGGGGACAAGAGGAAAATGAGATAATAAGAATAAGAGCGAATAAGGAGCCTCTACAGGAGGCTGGAGGGTATTGAAATGTAGAAAAGAGAAGTTTATTAAAGGGGAGTGGGGGGTGGAGAGGAAGCAGTGTAGGAGAAATGAAAGATGAAGAAGGCATAACAAGTTTCTTCTTTTTGTACCAAAATGTCTCACAAATGCTATGAAGTGAAGAAATCTGCAGACTGTCTATAGGTTAAATTGAAGGATGATGGGGAGAGTTCAGCAACAGCTGTTTAATGCTTTCTACAGGGCTCTGCCTCCCTTTCTACTGCTCTCTCCTGCATCACAATATCACCAATACACTCACAAAGAGGAACGGTGAATGGAGAGAGGGAGGAGAGTAAAGGAGGAGGCGGGTGATTGTCAGGGGCTAGAAGAAAGACAGGAGGAGTTGGGGGGGTGGGGGGGTACAAGTAAGACCTGCATTCATTCTCTGAAATTGATGACTTTCTAAAATTCAGTAACACTGTCCACATAGGCGGACTGAAGTCTTTTGTAGTGTGAGGAGTTGACAGAGACTATTGATCTGGGTTAGGTTTCCTGAATGCTCACTTCTATTCATAGGCAACAACAAACTGGAATCACAAAATGCCATTTTTGGTCATTAGTGCGACCTGACAATTTGCTTAAAAGTGGTCAAATACAATGTTGTCAGTTAACATATGTGTAGCTGAAGGCTACAACAACCACATTTTCAAATACAGTGGTAAGATCAATATGTTGATGCTACCTGGATGCTAACAGAATAAACTCAGAATTAATTAGGCTTTTGCTTAAGTTATTTCATATTTCAATGTGTTTATTTTATTTAGTAGTGCAATAGCTAACAGCTGGCAGTAGCATAGTTATTTATTAAACTGAGTATAGCATTAGCTTGTTAGCCGATTAGTAAAACATTTAGCTAAGTCATTTGCCACCTAGCTTAATGTGCTTCCTAAAACCACTGAAAGTAAGGTTATGTTACGTAGCTTTGACATTTTACAAATGCTAACCAGTTTTTCATATCTTTATTTTTAATTTCTTGCTTGTAGGCGTATTTTTTATTCCAGAATAAGTTGTAGGGCCTAGTATACAAGACTTAAAGAATACACCATAAAAGCCATTGTCCTTAAAGCACCCTCACAAATATACCCACGTGTCCTATATTTAACAACCTGTATGATCTCAGGGGATGCCGCCCACTTTCATCCTCTCAGATTGTTCCATTACTACTTTATCTAACCACTTTTTTTTCACAGCTTCTTTTTCTGGCTCCACTTTTACCTTTTTTACCCCCTTCCTTCTCATTCAACTTCCTCCACTCATGCATAGTAAGAGTAAGATTCTCTGTCTCGCACACACAAACACAAACTTTGTTTCTCGGGGCCATATGTTGACCCGTGGTGGACCTGAATACAGCCATCTGCCTGCTTTTCCTATGTCCCACAGGGCAAGAGTGTGGGAGAATGTCTATGAGACACAATACAGCCACACACCCACAGCCACACACACACCCTATACAGGCACACACATGCCTTTAACTCCTTCACAGCCACTAATCACTCCCAGACAGCCATCCCAGCTCATGTTAACAGTGACAAGATAATAGCTCTTCTGTGTGTGTGCATGAAAGAGAGATTCCTGGAGGCTCAACCATATGTATGCATTTGTTGCCCTGTTTTGTTTTTTTGTCGGATAATGTAAATGGGGAAAGGAGAAACATCCCACGATCAATGTTATTTTTGTGATGTTGAATTTTCACTACGAGTTGTTTACAGAAACGTAGACTACAAAGGCTGTTTTTACATGTATGACAAGTATATTTCCCTGATATCTGGAGACCAATTAAGTTTTGTGGTTTGACCTGCTAAAAATCCTGCGTCTACAACTTGCTCACCATAGAAACAGAAGATCAAAACAGTAATAGCTGTAGAAAGTGGAGAGGTGAGGGGAAGTAATTGAAGGAGAGGAAAGAAGTGCGGGAGGAAGGACGGAATCAGCAAGGGACATGGGTGGGAGCAGAGGATTGTTCAGATTAAACCCCAAACAAAAGACTTCTTATCTCCACATGAAATCTCGAGTCTGGCATGACTACACACACACACTAGTGTCTTGCTATTCTACAGCAAACTAGTTAAGGCACAAATTACTACAAAATAAGAGACGATAACTACACTTGCTTTGATTAGACATTGTTGCTATGGTTGTTTATTAAAATGAGACAAAGCAGTAACTTCATAACCTTTTGGACTTCAGTCAGTTAAGCCAATTTCAAAACAGTGTTTGAATTCTCTTGATCATGTATGCATTTAACTCACTTTAATTGAGTAGATAAAACATTTTTAAAAAGCCAAGAAGTGTACTCTCTTATGATCAATGAGCAACACTGGTTTGTTGGCACATTTTAAAAGCAGAGGTTGTAGAATAGCGCAACTGTTATTCATTTCCTGTTTCACACTTTCCCCTGTAAACACGGACGACCTATTGTGTTTTACTATTGTGTGGTCACAATAGTAAAACTTGAAGATACAAATAAAGTTTTCTAGTCTGATTACCTATGCTAACCATTCTCAATGAAATACAAAGCTAATCTAAAGTCATAATAAGAGAATGCTATAATTTGTTCTACGGCTTAAGGAACAATTATGTAATGATTTCTTCCCAGTATAGTTCAGTGAAAACCAAGTCCTAGTCAGTGTGGCAATTTTTCACATTTGCCTAACTTAAAAGGATCAAATGCCAATTTATTGATTGTGGAACTTTACATCTCTTGGCATACATACATGTTTCTTGTACCAACTTTGGAGTGAAGCATATTCTTTACTTGCTTCTTCTCTTGACATGTGTATATGCAGTTAACTTAAAAAAATACAGGGCCATTTTGAGATTTTGATCTACAATGAAAACCATAAATGTCAGTTCACCGATTTCCTGCTTCCTTCCTGCCTCCCTGCACCTTGAAACGACATGTCACAAATGTGTGAACATTGTGGCAAAGATACTAGAGCCAGTATAACGCATACAAGTAGTCAGAAAGTCGAGAAAAAAACATACACACGTCTTTTAACTTTTGCATTAGCAACTTTCAGTAGATGCGCCAAATACGCCTCTATAGATTTTACCTGTGGAAGTTTAAGTATAAGAAGCAAAACAAACTTGTGAAAAGATCAAAAACAAGAAACTTTATTACCAGTACAAAAAAACAAGAGAAACCAAATATATTAAACTTGATGCAAGCATTACCAACTCAAAGTCCTCTATAAATACGTTAAAATAAATTAAAGAAATTAATTTACTAAAGATGATCACCTTAAACACTAAACGAGCCTTAAACATGTTGACGAAAAAGGCAATTTTAAATAGACCAGTAACAGCAGTGTTTGTTCTTCTAACCAACTACGTCATAAACACACAAAACAACTGAGTAACATTTCTATAACACTAAGCATACATACCCTAACCCTACAGAATGCTGGATCTAGCTCAGTAAGGCAACCAACCTGGGTGCACAGTTCACCTAAATGTGACCAGGTACACTACACATTCATAACAGTACAAATATTTAATATTGACGGAGGGATGAAAAATAGTGGGGTGAGTCACAAAAATTATAAATATTTTTTAAAAAGCTTGCACCAGTGCTACCTGCGGACAAAGGAGGGAAACAATCCACACTCCTGGGAATGTTTGCGTTAAGATCATCTAAAATACATACTCAGCAATGGTTTAAACAGGACTGGCATGAAATGTTCCCTTAACTGTTTCATACTTTTTTCTAGGAAATGAACCTCTGCAACTTTAGCTATGTTCAGATCATATAGGTCTGAATAAGATGTTGAATAATGCATCATAAACATTGGATTCAACAAAGTAGGATCAAGTCCACTAGGCTTTTTGTTAAGCTAAAACAGAGTAACCCCTCTTCCTTCTGTAGGTTACATTTGGTCATTTGGCACTTAACTGGTAGCAGTTTGTCAATAATGAACAAGACAAAGGAACACTTGTAGTCATCTTAACGGAGAGACCTGAACTTACACTAAGCTTACTTGACTAAATAAAATGATTCACAGCCCATCCACACATCACTCCTAACGAACAAGCAAATATTGTTTCAACACATGACCTGGTAAATAACGTAACAGGCACTTCAGCTGTTTAAAAAAACGTAACATTCAGGTTGGAGGCCAGTGATTTAAATGTAACCTCAGACTGTAGAGCTATGAGGAAAAAACTGTTTCACCAGCTTATAAACACGACCATGTGAACAGTTGATGGAAAATCCACAATTCCTAAAAACACAAGTTACACTGTGTGTTTGTACCACCATAATCAAAATGTCAGAGCTACAAAAGATGTCTTTGGCTTTGTTAAATTTTTTAGAGAATCACTCGGATGATGTTAAAATGTAATAAAAAAAATTGTGTGGTGGGACTCGACAACAAGCGGCACAAAGGCCAATCACACTGTGATTACACATTTTTTGTCTAAATTTGCCATGTCAGCATACTATTTTGGTAAAGTATCAATCGCTCCCAGCACTATTTGAATTCTGACTCATTACGCACCATGTCTGGTGGCAACACACAATTCAGTTTCTGCATCACTTTAGCTTCTCCCCTTACAGATAGATATGACCGTGACATTTTAGCCACTTAAACCTAATGGGCTAATCTCTCCGTGCGTTCTGAGTCAGTCACAAAGTCTTTATTTCCTTTGAAGACACGCAGGTGCAAAGAACTTCTGAGGTTTCAATGAAGTGGCAATGTAAATTAGGGCCGTGTGTGTGTGTTTGAGCATGGATATGTGTGCACTGCATATATTGTGTCTCAAGAGTATCTTGGGTCTGCATGTTTGAGTGTATGCAATATGTATGTTTGTGTTCACAGCACACTGCAGCCTAAAGGCAGAATCCAGTAGCATCCTCTGGAACGGAGAGCTGACTGAATACTGCTAATCGTCTGCCATTAGCATCATGCATGCCACCGCAGGATTCAGAGCCACTGAGCGAGCTGGCAGAGCTGCTCCTATCCTGCTCCTGGTCCTGGTCCGACAGAGAGGTATAGGACAGACTTCGGGCACCCAGTGGCCCCGGAAACACTTCTGAAGCACTTGGACTCTGCCCCAGGGAAGGGGAGGCATTCGGAGACAGCCCACATGGAGAACAGCCAGAGTCTGGGGAAGGCAGGAATGGAGACCGAGGATCTGCTGTAGGGGCCGGGACCATGGGGGGTTGGAACTGGTGGACAGGGGAGGCCTCAAAGGCAGAGTCCATCTCCAGGAAGGCATGAGAAAGGAGGTCAGTAATGTCAGCGCAGGAAGGAGGCGAGGCCGATGGAGCACGTGAGAAGGAAGCTGTGGCAGGAGGAGGTCGAGCGTTAAGGGTAGGCTGAAAGGCTGGCTGGGGGGCAGAGGGAAACCCAGCAAAGCTGAAGCTATGTCTGACAAGAGGAGGCCTGTGAGAGCGGAAGGAGCCAGGTGGCTGCTGGGGAATGCTTGAAGAGGAGGATGACGAACAAGAGGAGGAACGGGACAAGGAGTGATTAATTTCTTCCTCATTGTTATGGACAAAGTGGCAGCGCATCCCATAGGGGCAGAAACCAACGGTGTGAAATGTGCGGCATGGCTCAGTTTTGTATTTTGGATGTCTGTTAAGATCACGCAGCTCATCTAGCCCGTGAGCAAACTGGCACTTCCCACCGTACTTGCACAAGCCACTCTCATTGAAAGATCGACACATTTCAGTCTTATAGCGCGCCGATGAAGAGGAAACGGATGAGGAGGAAGAGGAGGAGCTGGTATTCAGTGCGTTGGGGCTGATGTCACTTGGGGAATGTAACATGTCAGTCCCGGGCCAGCCTAGACCTGCCGCTGTGGTGCTGCCGGTCTCTACCATGCTGATGGAGCGCTGTGCAAGGAAGCCTGGCTTTGCCCACTGGTTGGTATTGGCGGTCTCGATTGGCAGAGGGCTTTCTGACTCTTGTCCCCATTGGCTGGAGGTCAGAAATACACTGTCGGAAGAATCAGTGGGAAGGCAGGAGAGAGACGACAGGGAAAACGATAAGTTGCTTCGTGGCTGCCCAATGCATCCTGGGGATCTCATGGCCAGACTGAGGGATGGTAGTGGTCCGTTATGGTCCCTCAAGTCCAGATTCAGTAATTGCTTTTAACAAGAAAAAAGAGAACACAATATTAGGCAAAACAATCTAACATTATTGTTGAGCGATTACGTTTTTTTTTTTTTTTTATCCATGTTGCATTATTCAGTGTCCATCAATTATTGTACATTTCTATACACTGACATGTGTTGACATGCAAACGGGTGGAAATGCCTTCTGGTGCAATATTCAACGCAAACTAAAGACTTCAGTAATGTAGCTTAATAGTTTTGTAGCGGAGAACACAGATTTGAGGGCTATTAGAAGTGAATTGGCCAAAGATAATTTTATTTAATAATAGTTATTGAAATAATCACGACATGTCCTGTCATTTGAGGAGTGCGATTCTATATTGGTTATGTTTTAACTTAATAAATGGATTTATAAGTAACAATTGACTATATTTATTACATAAACAATATTAAAAACCCAGATATATTCATCGCTACTATAGATTGTTTTATACACCAACTAGATCAAAAAGGTTTAACCTGGCAGTACATACTTTCCTCTTCAAGCTAAGAGATATAGTGCTTTGCATTGCAAAAATTACAGTGAAATGTCCTATTTCCAGAGGTGGAAGAAGTACTCAGATCTTATACTTAAGTTAAAGTAGAGTAAAAGTGGAGAAATACAAGTAAAAGTCCTGCAATCAGAATGTTACTGAAGTAAAAGTACAAAAGTATTAGCATCAAAATATACTTAAAGTACTCATTATGCAGATTGGCTTATTTCAGAATAATATATATTACATGTGTTAATCATGATTATTGATGAATTAGATGGTTATCAAAACTGGTAAAGATGCAGCTACTCTACTGTAAAGTAGCTTCTGAATTTACTCCAGGTGTGACAAATTACTTATTTAAGAGTTGATTATGTCACATCATTAATACAAATATGTTAAGTAATTGAAAAGGGAAAAATAAATGCAGTGGAGTAAAAGTACACAATTTAAATCGGAATTGTTGTGAAGTACAGTAGCAGGAAATGGAAATACTCAAGTAAAGTACAAGTCCCTCAATTCTACTTCGGTATACTACTTTTGCCATTCTACTTTGTTATTTTACAACACTGCCTATTTCTGAAGAAAATATTTGTATTTAACAAACAACATGTTCCTACGTGACTTTAACTTACTTGCATCCAGTGAACTAAACATGTTTCCATGCTAGCAAGCTTGGCAACTTTAACTGTCGACTTTTTGTTGTTTGGCGCAAGTTCTCTAGTTAAGTTTACGGTGCTGTTTTGATTCGAATTGTTGGCGTTCACTGCCGTTAGTAGTAACCTCTCTATGACCAGTAACGTTACCGTGTTGAAATCTTAAATCTCAACCACTGAATTAGCAAATTAGTAGACTATTTAAATAGGCCCTTGTTGCACTAACTTCAACAACGCTCCCATAACTCTCCCTACAAGTTAGCTTTCAGTTAAGGCTAATTTTGAGAGAAGATTATTATAAAAAAAAGAGCTTGAAAAGGCCACAAATAAACAGAAGAAAATCACGGCTAATAAAAGGACAACAGTATCTGCTAAACACTTGAAATTACACAGAGCAAACAGCGTAACGTTAGCAGTGTAGCTAGCTAGCTAAAGTTTACCCCCTCCCTCCCTCATGACCTAGCAAACTTTTGCTCCGCTCAACTTTCTCTGCGCTTTCCGTTTACCTTGCACATCATCTCTTCCAAGTCGGTGAACTGGTTGAGGGGGAAAGAGGGCATTTTGCTGAGTTATCAAAAGTTTCGTCCGTTCCCGTCTGCCCCCGCAGTGATAGACGTGGGCAACTCGCTTGCATGAGTTGGTCAGAAGTTTCTAGTTGTGTATGCTGTGCTAAACAAGCCCAAGACCCAGACCACGTGTGGATTTAAAACCTAACACGGCTGTTAGCCCCTCCCACGCCTCTGTGAGTCAGCCGAAAGTTGTTTTCACCAGACCCAGCAGTCCCTGATCTGTATTGTAGTCTATCCGGTTCAATGAAAAGTAGGCCTAGTTGTACTTATCCTATTTTTAATTCTTTCAATATAAAGGGGATCCTGGTTTCTCTCTATCTTTTGGAGTCATTCTCCTAAGCATGTTCCTTACGCTTTAAAGTTCGTTTCAAGACATACTGTAGGCCTAAGTGGAAATAGACCCTACTTATTATCCTTGTTTTTTTTTACTGTAGCTAACGTTCTCCGGACACATCTAACACCATTATGGTTAAAAGACTGTACGAATGCAATGTAGCCTGAATAAACTAATTAACGTAGTTTGCCCCAACATTTTTACCAGAACCTAAATATATGAAGTACTTTTTGCAACCCAGTCATGTTTCACAGACCATGTCACTGATACTACCAGCAGTGTAGTCTAATGTAGTCTTGATATTAAAACAATAAGCCTAATGCAATGTTAGCTTTTAGCCATTTTCCCGACTCCTTATGGTAATGTCTGATGCTGATAAAACTCCCCCTTCAGTTACCTAAGCTTTTTAATACATTATTTTATGCCAGGTAGTCACAGGCTATGTGAAGATATGTTTTTTGTGAAATGTCAATGTTGTAAACCAACTAAATATAGATTATTACAAATGAAAGGCAAACAACAAAAGCAACCAATGGCAAAAAAGGGAACACAGTCCGAAAACTGGAGGACCAAGACAAGGGTATACCAGTATGGAGACAGTCTAGCCATATGAGACAGACAAGGAGGAGTGAAGTCTTTGATTTCCAAGGTAGATGTGTGAAAAATACCACTGCAGAGCGATGAGACTATCTGACAGTCCTACTCTCACACGCAGGTTTGTTCCTCTTTTTTTTTGCAAAGACCAAAAAAGTAAAGTTATCTTTCCCTAAACCTAAACCTAAGACTGATCACAACCCAATGTATGACCCAATGCCTATAGCCTGAAACAATGTCAAAGTGGGCATTAACAATAGGCATCTCAAACTCCTAGCCTATAACTGGTAAGACATTTGGTCCAAAGACAGAGTTTCAAGTAGACACACATACCCACAGGTCTGCCAGGAGTGAAGTTGTCACACCTTAGGGATTGTAAAGAGGATTGCAACAGCATGCCCAGTAGCCTGACAAGTTTGCAAACAGTTGGCTCCAACTAAAGCGGAGAAAAACAGCTTTTAGTTTTTCCTGTGCAGTTCAGTGTTACCATTTGCCGGATATGGGGATTTTATTACCACTAGGGCAGTTCTTAAACTGAGAATGTAACATATGGTTAAATTAAAAGCTCCATCTCCAATTAAAGATGACAATGTTCACTTTTTTGAAAAGAGGTTAGTAATATTCTCACAGGATAGTTGCCTGACAAAGTATTTAAAAAAGAAAAGAAGAATGTCAGAAATTGATCAAGAAGGTGAAACCTATAAATTAAAGTTAAGAATAGCTGGGCTTCCACAACGAGAAACAAGTGTGAACGTTTTTGAAACCAGCACATAGCTCTAAACCCCTTTAGAAAGATGAGTACAGCTGAGAACAATGCCTGCCAAAGCTTTGTTTTGGTCCAGCCAAGTGGTCACCATTAAGTGTGTGTGTTTGTGTGTGTACATGCATTGACAGAGGCTCTCAAAATCCCATCCTCCTCCCTCCTGTGATGATGTAACGTTATCGGTCCACTCTCGTAGCCTGAAGCTTTTCTCAAACTGACGTGTTTGGACTTGTGTGATTTGTATATGAAGCTAAATGTGTGTCTTTCCTCACATATCTGCGGTCAAAGGGGACTTAAGAGGTATCTTGGTGTCCAGCTGTCCAGTGCCATGTAAACATAACATCCCAGGTTTGAATTTTGCAGAGGATCTTCAATCCACGTCATCGCTCTTTTCTGTCCTGTCACTCTACTGTTACTGATGAAATTACCACAAATCTATTTTAGTAAAGAAAATGGGGATTCATTTCTTGTGTCTGCCTCTAACATCAGTTCCTCAAACAGGAAGCTTGGATGCTGTATTGTCCATATACATCAGGTCATCCGATTAAGATGGACTGCAGAATTCTCATCTGGCATCAGAATGCATCCTCAATACATTTTCAATTACATTTAAGTGACCTTTTGTTCTCATATTTCACATTCACATTTTATTGAATCATTTAGTAACTTACCACTTCCAAATAGAGAAACTACACATTGGATCATTGCAGTGGCTAAGTCTGTTGTGCGTTTGGTTTTTTAAGCACACTAAAAGATCAATGCAAAACAATAAAAAGGGTAGAGATGGGGAGGAGTGACTGACAGCAAAGGTGTCTGGCCGGAAATCGAATTGGGAATCGTAACCCCTATGCCACCATGATGACACACCACGTACTGTATGTGGACACATTACCAGGAATCCAGTATGCATTTTAGCATTGTTCAATCCTGTACAAAAAATGTAAAGCTTCTTGCTTTCACTCATGGTGGAATTAATGCCAAATGTGAACAAGGCCTAATTATATTGCAGCTGACCTTTGGATTCTAACCCAGACATAAGACATTGTCCTAATTAGTTCATTGTCTTAAGAGGTTGGCTTTGTGTGTTTGTTTTTTAGCCTGAGATGAAGACCACCACTGTGAACAACAAGCCATTAGCAAGATGTCAACAACACAAGGGCCTTGAGGTAAGGCCTTTCTGTTGATTTGCTTAAGTAAACAAGTTTTATCTATAAACAAGCTTTTTGGCTGGCAAGTAGAGTTTACTACTATAGACAAATCCCTTTTGGGTGAGTAAGGGATTACTGGGAGTAATAAGAGAAGGGGGAGTTTCTGAAGGAAAGGGGGAGGGGAAGAGGTAGGAAAAGGAGGAGAGAGATTTGAAAGAGAGTTCTTGCTACTTGATGAGTCCAGCTGGGCTAGAGGGTCTTTGGAGCACAATGACCTCAATGAGCTGCAGAACCAACTAACAAACTAATGGCCTGCTCTCTGCAACTCTACCCCTGTACACTCACACACACACACACACACACACACACACACACACACACACACACACACACACACACACACACACACACACACACACACACACACACACACACACACACACACACACACACACACACACACACACACACACACACACACACACACACTGGAAATAACAGAAGGTAGTGAATTGGTGGGATAGAAGGGCTTGTTAGGAGGGAAGAAAAGGGGGTGAGGAGAGGGATGAAGGGACAGGATTGGGGGCTATTAAGAAGGAACAGGGGAAATGAGGGGAAGGCATTAGGAAGGAATCGAAGACAAGACACGGTTTCTATAAGACTGGAAAAAAGTTACAGATTTGGGATTACTCAACCAGATGCACAAAGATGTGTCATGGGACGCATTCCCTTCTTTGTCACATAATCTTCCTGCAGTGAAATAATTAGCCTAGTCATTAGGAAAACATTTGCCGAATCAACATCTGTTTGATATTAGAAGAGATTTACAGTGGTGACATTGCTCCATGGGGTGGCCCTAAAATGATTTACTGCAGCCAGGATGCCTCTGTTGTACACCTAAGATGTTTTTGAAGAAAAAGGATGAAACCATAAAGTAACACGTGTTTTGTGAGATATGTGACAGCACACCTAACATACAAACACTGCAGCGTGTTTCCATTAACAGGAAGAAAGATGTCTGGAAGTTTGGAGCTATAAGAAACGGATAGGCATGCTAGGAGAGCTAGCTAAGGATAGGGAAGCTAGCTAAACCATAATCCGAACAGTGTGTGCGTGTGTGCATACGTGTATGGGAATGTGTGTGTGAGAGAGAGAGAGAGAATCAGTAGACAACCAACGGAGTGAACCAATTTTAATGTAACATTGTGTGTTGTGTGTGTCTGTGTGTCTTGTTCTCAGTAAGACAACAAAGTCAGACAAAGTAACGCACGCACGCACGCACGCACGCACGCACGCACGCACGCACGCACACACACACACACACACACACACACACACACACACACACACACACACACACACACACACACACACACACACACACACACACACACACACACACACGCAAACAAACACTCAGCCTATTGAATCTCTCATGATTAAGTGAAGTCATTCCTATACAGCCACAGGCTTCTTCAGATGAGAGGCTACTATTGCTATTGAAATATTAAGGAGAGGGGAGGAGGGGTCTGTAGAGCTGATGAACATCTGCTCCTCTTTTCCTCCCCTTTCTTCACCCCCCTTCTCACCGCCTTCTGTCTTACACAATGTACCCCCGCTCCATCCGCTGTGTGTGTGTGTGTGTGTGTGTGTGTGTGTGTGTGTGTGTGTGTGTGTGTGTGTGTGTGTGTGTGTGTGTGTGTGTGTGTGTGTGTGTGTGTGTGTGTGTGTGTGTGTGTGTGTGTGTGTGAGTGTGTGTATGTGTGAGAGAGTGCATTTGTGTGTTTTTGTGCTTACACAGAGCCTTTCGGATTTACAGAGAGAGTTTGGGATTTGTGAAGAGAGTTTGCCTGTCAGTCAGTAAAGTTTTAGCAAAGCTGCAGTTTTATTCTTAGGGATACTGTGCTTTCAAAAATGATTCCCACTATTTGGCATTAATACAACTACCTTCTTAAAAGTCATGTATTTGAACAGCTGTTATTTATTTAAAGGAATACTCACTATAACAGTAAAGACAACACACAATAACTGTCAAATGAAGTAAAGCACATTATATTCAACAATTAACATAAAGGCTTAGCAGCTACCGTGTGTATAGGCAAGATAACCAGAGTGACTGCACCGGAATGTTTAGTTATGCATAAATACATAACAACTATGTCTCTCTTGATTCTGTTTAATGCGCACGGACACATCCAGAAACGCCGCACAGTAGGGTTCTACTCACAGGGCAGAGGTCGTAACCTAACCTCTGACCTCCGACTTCACCTCCTCCCTCCCCT